CTTAAAAGAAGGACAGTCATAATCAGTGGAGTACCGGTGCCCTCTGGTGATTTTCATGCACCCGGGGACAGTCGTGGCCCATTTCTTGCTGTGCCATCCAATCGATTGTGAGTAGATCTCGTCGAACTGAGGTCATCTTTTCGCGCTTTGATGACTTCACACTTACTTGCATCGTCCATGATTCTCCTTAGCGGAAGCTTTTCGTGAGTTCGCCTCAGTTACCCTACCAGGGTACGTCATTTCGCCTCAGTTACCCTACCAGGGTCGTCTATGGTAGGCAGGCCCACCAACCTGTGTGATTTCTTGATCTTGCTCTCTTTATCTATCATTCCTTTTCGTCTTTTAAATTTTTTTATTGTTCCTGGACATCTGAAAAGAGAGGCACTAAAAGTGATGCAGAAAACCTGGGAGAATTCGCAAAGGTCAAAATTACTTTGATTACATTTTTAAAAAAGCCTTAGGGATCGTCTTGATTTTTGAGCTGTTAGTGATAAACTTTTCACATTGTATTCAAACTTCCAGATTGATGTAAGTAAAGCTTTGTGACAGTTGAAGCCTGATTATTCTGTTTGTTTCACCCTTTGGTAATACACGTTTGAGATGTAACAGTTTGTTGTTAGATGTTCTAGACGAGTAAACAAACAGATAAACAATTATTTACGAGTCGCATTCTCCAGAGTGAACATGCATTTCTGAACGCTCGTGCTCTTTCTGGACCTTCAAGAGGTGACCGTTCAGCTGGGCGAGGCGATTGGCGGTACGGACTTACAGCCTCCCACGCCACGGCCAAGGACTGAAGTCTGGACGTGAAGGCAGGTGCGACCCATTTATGATTTCATGATATGGTTTTCTTGGATTTAATTATTCCAACTTGTGGGTCGGAAGTGGGCAGATTTGCGAGTTTTTGCAGTGAATACTAGATAATCGATTTTCATTATGTACAAAAGCAATCAATCAATACAACAATTAGTAACACATCATCAACGAACTCGGTTCTATAAATCACTGATGGTGGGCAAAGTACGGTAGGTCCTCTCGGTCCGCATATAGCATAATGACAGATAGGAGGGGCATTCGGCTGGCAAACAACAAGGAGACAGATTACACCAACGAAAACCAACAGAAAGAACGACGAAAATCAATAAAATCAATCGATACCCATGAGTCACGACCACGACGACTAGGCATGATGTGTATGTGTGTGTGTGAGTGCTGAATGTTCTCAGAGAAGTTGGTCGACGGTGAAAACGACAAAAAAGAAAACAACGGGGTCATCGAAGGGATGAACAGGCAGCTTTGTGCGGTAGTCTAGTTGCCGTGTAGTTAGGAGATAAGGTGAATATAGCGTCTATGCGATATGGGGTCATACAATGGAAGCACAAGGAATATGAGGGGAGGGACAACGATGTCGGAGCCCATCAGAAAGCTGAAGCGCCCTGAGTAGTTGAAAATGTGTCAATGGAAAACAACCGTGACAAGAATGACGATCAGAAAAGGTCCTGAAATAGTGAATTTCCTTTTTCTGCAACAATACTGATAAAGTGCACCTCGTACGCGCGCGGAGGCGTCGCGGTTGCGCGCGTAAGCGGCGCGCGCCATAACTCATAAGCGGGGAACCGTGCAGCGCAATGAACCTCTCTGCCAATAGAAGTAAGCAGGTACTCACCATTATCTTCGCCATTCGATTCGGCTCTCAGCGATAGGCTACGATTTACGGAGGCACGTAACTGGGAGGCATTCTCTGGTTCGGAACGGGGGCAGCCGAGCCCAGTCGAGGAGAGGCAGCCGCCAATGGTGGTGGTGGTTTGTACAGAGGGTTTTCATGCTGCGACACCTGCAAAAGCACCCGGATTTCATTTAATACCCGAATTCAATTTTGTAGTGGTCGCCTTACCTTGAAAGGTGGTCGTTCCTCTTTAGTGAGCATAGGTGTGGCTGCATGTGGCCATTTCAACGTCTTCGGCTACCTCCTCAGGGAACACCACAGGCATTCCTTTACCCATGTAGTCGGAGGGTTTCTCCTAGGAAAGAGAATCGAAAATTCAGTGACCCTTGATGCACATGATGATTTGATCTGAGAAGTCTTACTGACCTTCTTCTTGTTCCTCCTCATCGCGCTGCATACAGCTAGAATCAGGATAGCGAGCAGAAGAAGTAGGAGGAGCACTCCAATGAGAACCATCCATGGGAAGGCGGCTTGCTCGGTAGCCTCCATTGTCGGTGCTGTGGAAACCATCTCCTGAAGGAAGGCGTGAGTTGAGCTCAAAGAGCTGGATAATCTCAAATTGTGTACTTACCACTTCTTTGTCGACACAGCTACCTCGCAGGTCCAAGCTGGCTTTCCGTACGTGGAATTGTGAGCCGATCTGCTTTACAAACTCGATCTTTGTCTGTGAGCGCTGTCGAGTGAGCATCGTGAACCGGATGTTGTCGAGGGCATCGCGAGCGCACGTCTGAAATACCCATAACGAATTGAAATTCCTTTGGAAAGCTCGAAATTGACAAATTGTTGCGAATATGTTCGTTTGTTATGCAAAAAATCGGAAATTAATTATCGAGGGGTGGTTTTCCACTCGTGGAATGGGGCGTTTTTGCAGAAGCGGCCGCGTTGCGGTTGTTGAACGCGTTAACACTTGTTCGAACAGGGGGTCCTCGAGAAAAGTGTGTCCACAATACAATACGCAACACAAATCACAGAGGGGTTTTTCGGATCTGAGAGAGAAATGAGACGAGAGAGGCAATGGATTGTGTGAAAGTTCTAGGCCACTCAAGTACAACATTAATTGAAGTTGAGTCAAACTTTCTGGGTTTGTTCGACGATTTACTCACTACAGTATCCATGGCAGGGGCTAAGGAAAAGCAAACCGGATCTTCTTTTCCATAAGAAAAGGACTATCCTTGGCTCTTTCTCCAATTCCAAGTCGACGTACTTGGGCTAAGTGCTCTAGATGATGGTGTACTATCTGGTCTTCCGATAACGACAGGCACGCGGCATGCTTTCGCGAGCATTTAGATACTTCTCTCGCGGTAGTTCGGCAGCGATACCCTTGTGGTTCTCATCAAGGATGAAGTTATCCAACTTCATCATGAGCTCTGCTAGAGACTCTTGCTGAAAGCTGCGAGGAGCAGATGGCTGACTGGGCTTTTGCAGACGACGGACCATTGTTTTCCGGGAACCGTGCTTCGTGTAGGTGTTGAACGGCGGTAGTAGCCTCGGGCTCTCGTGGCCCGTAGAGAAGAAAGTGGTCGTTGATGGAAGCTAGCCGTCCAGACAGAGTGGCGTCGTCGACGAGCGCGTATCTGCAGCATCGGGGCTACCAGCTAGTGACTGACGGTTGCATCGCTGTCCGGGTCCTCCTTGAACGAACTACCGATGCTGGAGGCAGTGTAGCGTGGTCAGAACTAAGCTGGCACTCATAGAAGACACACAATAGCAAGAACTTGCTCTTTCGACGATGGTGGCATGTTTCACCGGAGACCGCATCGGGGGTATTTATACCCTTCGGGTGGTAGCACCAGGAATGCTCTATAACTAGGCGACAACAAAAGGGCAGCACCGTCTCTTGAAAACGAACCACTCCAAAATCAAATTTGAGTCCCAAAGTTCCAAATCAACCTAACTGATGCACATAGAATGCACGCGTCCCCTTACAAGCGGATATGTACTGTACGAATCCTTTACTTCACAACTGCTCGAATCACAAAAAAAAAGGGGTGCTCACCTTGTGAGG